CTTAAAAACTACCAAGCCTATATGGCGCCCAGGCTGAGTAATTAATGAGCTAACTACGTCCTTCGGTTGATGTGGGGAGTGCCAACTCGTCGGCCGAGCTCAGCCGAGGAGTAAAATGTGTTGATGCTTCATTGAGTGCACTATTGACTTCTTGATCTTGTGACTTCGGCTGAGGAAAGAACATGTCTTGGCCTTCGGCTTCTAGAGCCTAAAGACAAGGCTGTTAGTCTTGCGAAGTTCACGAATCGTCGGCACCGAGTTCGGTCACAGTGATTATATTCGTAAGAGTATAAGCACGTCGAACCAATACCAAACAATATGGACACAAGTACTCAAAAGAAATGTATGTCTTAAGGGTAAATGTGGTTCAGCCGTCAAAATGCTGAACTCTAAAACTTACTTGTGAATATCCAATCATAAAACAACTCAGCATTCAATGTGCTGAGCCTAGTAATCTGTAACACCTTACTTCGCCGAGAAAGCTAATGAAATGACCTCTGCCAATAAGGATTCAAAAATCCTTCTTGACCGAGACTTAGATAAATAACCAGTTGGCCTCGACGCAATGCTATTTATCCAAACTGAAGGTGCTCTGTGATCGGCTGATTTTCATCAATAGTGTTATTTATCCAAACTGAAGATGTCATCGGTTGCCTTCACAGTGCTGTTTATCCAAACTAAAGATGTGTTGGCAGAAAAAGAAAATAAAACTCCCAAGGTGTTTGAGAGGTTTCGCGTAGAGCGAGAGTTTGCGCAGGGCAGTTTGTGTGTTGAGTTGGAGGGCCTTTCAATAATGCACTCCCCTCCATATATATAGCAGCGGACCTATTCCTGGCCAAACCAAAGTTGTATTCGGACTAAAACTCCCAAGCCTAATTTGATTAGGATTTAGCCAACCCGAGTTCCAATAGGTTTTTGAACCAAGCTCCATAATGAACTAGGTTCACTCCCGTCTCCTCAACGCCTTCAACTCTGAAATCCCCTTGTTGTATCAGGACTCGACTTATTTGCTCTTATCCAGATCAACCCTTCTTACAATAGGACTCAGCCGACCTGATTAGGCGGCTTGTGACCACTGGACCGCCCATAGCATTTTTGGAAGAGCCTTGGACCGAACATAAACCTAAGCTCGGCCCAATAATATTATTTTAGAACCAAACAGAGACTTATCCCACTTCCTATCCCCTTAGTGTAGATTGTATCGTTTGTTCAATATAATTCCAGATATTGTAAGAAACTAAAAGAGACGAAGGATAAGTAGAAGCCAATGAACCTAGTCCTACAAGATCATGTGACAAATCAAAGCTCTCAAAACCAATTAATTGTGGAATATGCAAACACCATGCTTCTATGTGGACTGTGTAGAGAAGGACATTGCAGCTCCAAATCACCTTATGACCCCGAAGCAACTTTAATAGTAGATCCAACAAAACTCAGCCAGATTACACCAAATCAAGCCCAAAACTACTAAACTCTCCTATGGCAAGGTCAGGCAACTCACTGAGTTTCTGGAATTATTACATGCACAAAACTAAAATAAAACAACAAATAATAAAAAATAAAAAAAAACAAAAAGCTCAATTTACTCCGCAAGATCCTCCAATTGATGGCCTAGTTTGAATTTAATTTATTTTTGGAAAATATAGTACATTGCACACCGGTGCTTCACTGATGCAAAAGTCCAGTGGCTGTTATTTCTTAGTCAGTTCGAAGCCACACACAACTTGTATTAATGATTTTTTTCTTTTTTTCGTTTTTGGTCAATTAGTGATATTTTTGTTTCCAACGGAAGAATAATAATTAGTTCCAAGTTCAAATGGTGTACAATTAAAACTATGCAGTTGATATACAATTTCCAGTTAAGAGACCCTGTGATGGACTCTGCTTTGTAAGATTTTTTTGAGATAGGAATTTTGCAACACTACAAGAGACAATTAATATTGGTCACATTTTGAGAAATTTACAAAACCAAATATAATTATATTATCTGTGCTCTAAGTTTCCAAGACTCTCTGTTGGCATGTTTGTTACCCTATGAGTAACTTGAAATTGGATATTGGAATTTGCCTTAATAAATGTCAAAATATTTTGGATAATAGAGTGAATTCGTCAAAAAACTTGAGAATTTAAAATCGAGATATAAGATTTTGGAATCTCCTTCAATAATGACATGACTAATAAAGTAATAAGTATAGACAATTAATAATTGATCAATGAGATGCTTAAGGACATATATATATATATATATATATTTTTTTTTTTATTTTCCAACGGTAGCTATAGTAACTAGTTAGTTTCCATTCCTGGAAGAAGTCAGGGTTCTATTAGAAAATCAATTGGTAATATAAAGAGTAACTCAATTACTTATACACACATGTAATGTCACTTTTTTCCCCGATGTTGGATTCATAGTACTCTCAATATTCCTTCTTGGCTAATATATTTTCCACACAGGAAGTTGAAGCTGAAGATAGATGGGTTCTTTATGCCAAATAATTAGTTCTTGTTTTTCCCGAAAAGTAACAGAACCCCTAATACGGCACAAACAACAAAACAAATAATGGTAAACTGATATCAATCTAGAGCAAATTAAATCCTGAAAAAACAAACCTGCTTTGTACTAATTTGAAAATGAAAGAAAGTTTTTGTTAAAAACCATACATACAAACGAATTATAAAAGCTAAGAATATTATTCAATTAATCGAAACAAAAGAGAACACTACAAATTCATCAAAGATGACATAACCCATAGGAATACATTGTCTGGAAGAAGGAAAAAATAAAAAAAATAAAAATTTTATGAGCAATAAAAGAATTCTCAAATTTGAATCATGAATTAATAAAACGACAAACTAATTACCACACCAAAATATCTTGTAGCTAGTTTTGTATCTATTTTTAATTTCCAAGGAAGGATAGAAAAAGTAGAGGCGTAGACTTAGACTTCATTTTATTGGGTCAAGTACTGTTAATTCTCTCCTACTGTTGGAAAATTCCTTACATACCTAGCTTTGCATCGGTCTAATATCACTGGCCGACCATACTACCACTGTTTCTTAACGTACAAGCTTGGAATACACGTTCAAGCCAGATTCTAGATCAACAATCTAATTTTCCCACTAAGATCCAATCAACCGTATACGGAGAGAATGAGCTAAAGCCAACTCTGGATTGGTGGGGAAAAGCACTCCTATACTCCCATCTCTATCAACACATGAGGAGAGATATAGGAAGGAAGGTGTATGTAAAGTTTTAGCCGTTGGTGAGACCAAAGATGTGGCTCTCGAGTTTGAATCATGCACTATTGCTCCAAGTCTCAGAAACCTACGCTCAAAGTCATGGCTCAAAGTCATGTCAACTGAACTGACACGCACTACAAGTCACACACAACTTGTTTTTTTGCTCAATTAATATTTTTTGTTTCCAACGAAAAAAAAAAAAAAATTAGTTCCAAGTTCAAATGGTGTACAATTAAAACCATGCAGTTATATACAATTTCCAGTTAAGAGACACCCTGATGGACTCTGCTTTGTGATGGTTTTTTGAGATAGGAATTTTCCAACACTACAAGAGACAATTAATATTGGTAACTTTTTTGAGAAATTTACAAAATCAAATATAATTATATTATCTGTGCTCTAAGTTTCCAAGACTTTCTGTTGGCATGTTTGTTACCCTATAAGTAAGTTGAAATTGGATATTGGAATTTGCCTTATAAATGTCAAAATATTTTGGATAATAGGGTGAATTCGCCAAAAAAACTTGAGAATTTAGAATTGAGATTAAGATTTCGAAATCTCCTTCAATAATGACATGACTCATAAGGTATTAAGTATAGACAATTACTAATTGATCAATGAGATGCTTAGGGACATATATATTTTCCAACACTAGCTATAGTAACTAGTTGGTTGCCATTCCTTGGAGAAGTTGGGGTTGCACCAAAAAATCAATTAGCAATTTAGAGAGTAGCTCAATTACTTATAAGCACATGCAATCACTTTCCCCGCCCCCCCCGGGGGATGTAGGATTCATACTACTCTCAATATTCCTACTTGCCTAATATATTACTTTCCACACAAAAGTTGAAAGCTGAAAACAAATGGGTTAATTATGCCAAATTAGTTTCCTTTTTTCCCGAAAAGTAACAGACCCCCTAATACGGCACGACAACAAAACAAATAGAGATAAACTGATATCAATCCAGAGCAAATTAAATCCTAAAAGTCCAAACGTGCTCTGGTACCAAGTTAAAAATAAGAAAAAGCTTTTGTCAAAAACCATACAAACAAACGAAATATAAAAACTAACAATATTACTCAATTAATCGAAAATAAGAGAACACTATAAATTAGCCGAGATAACATAAACTGTAGGACTACATTGTTTGAAAAATAAACAATTTACGAGCGTTAAAAAAATTCTCAAATTTGAATCATGAATTGATAAAACGACAGACTAAATTACCACATCAAAAATATCCTGTAGCTAGTTTTGTATCTACTTTTAATTTTCAAGGAAGGATGGAGAAAGTAGAGGCGTAGACTTAGACTTCATTTTCTTGGGTCAAGTACTGTTAATTCTCTCCTAGTGTTGGAAAATTCCTTACATACATACATCGGTCTAATTTCACTGGCCTACCAGACTACCACTGTTTCTTAACGTACAAGCTTGGAATACACGTTCAAGCAAGATTCTAGATGAGAGATATAGGAAGGAAGGTCTCGAGTTTGTGTTATGCACTATTGCTTCAAGTCTCAGAAACCTTTGCTCAAAGTCATGTCAACTGAACTGACACACACCACAAGTCTTTTGTCAACTTTCACTTTCAATAGTTCTGGGAAATTCAACCATGCCTCAATGAATACGATAGTGGTGGGGGTGGATCCACTACGATAGTAGTGACTATGGTTATAAATTGGATTCTGCTAAAGCTCCTAGACAAACAACCACCATTCTTTAAATTTGTGAGTTAAGGTTCGCACCAAACGGTATCACCATGGGCCTTTACAACTCCATTTCTGCTCTTGTTTTCGCATCCTTCTGTATGCATGCTCTCATTCTTCACTACTCTTGCTCTCCTTCTTTATCCCTCCCCGGAAATGAGACAGATAAACTGGCCTTGCTTGAAGTCAAGGCTAGCATAACTCATGACCCTCTTGGAGTTTTATCTTCATGGAACAAAACCAACCATTTTTGCTATTGGCGTGGTGTCACGTGTGGTCATCGTCACAAAAGGGTAACGAGTTTGGACCTTGAGTCCTCAAAACTTGAAGGCTCCATAACACCCCATGTTGGAAACTTGAGTTTCTTGAGAGTAATGTCTCTGAGAAATAACAGCTTCAGCAATCAAATTCCTCCACAAATCGGCCGTCTACACAGATTGCAAGATTTATGGCTGGCGAATAACTCACTCAGCGGTCAAATTCCAACCAACTTATCACTCTGCTCTCAACTCCAGACAATCCGTCTAGGTTACAATTTGCTGGTGGGAAAAATTCCTGAGAAGCTCGGCAGCTTGTCAATGCTAAGACTAATCACAATTCACGGGAACAACCTTACAGGAAGTCTTCCTCATTCTTTTGCTAACTTATCGTCACTCGAAACAGTTTCCGCATCTTATAATAGTTTGAGTGGAAGTATTCCTGATATTTTTGGCAAACTGACCAATATCACATTTCTTGCATTGGATGAAAATAGGTTGTCTGGTACTCTTCCTCCATCAATCTTCAATAAATCTTCTAGTCAGATTCTTTAGTATGGAGGTAGCAACCTCCAAGGGACCCTGCCTGCAAACTTAGGTATCACCTTACCAAATCTTGAATACTTTGATATTGGCAGTAACCAATTTAGCGGATCAATTCCCGTTTCATTGTCCAATGCCTCGAATCTGTATTACCTTTCAGTGACAGAAAACCAACTACATGGAAAGGTCCCTTCTTTGGGAAATTTACAAGGGCTTGTGCGATTACATCTTGCTTTCAACAATCTTGGAAGTGGGGCACGTGGTGACTTGAGCTTTCTATGTGATTTGACAAATGCCACACGTTTGCAAGTCCTACGACTTAAGACAAATAATTTTGGGGGCATGTTACCTCAATGCATAGCTAACCTATCTTCTTCTCTTATAAGCTTCGTTGTATCTGCAAATCAAATATCTGGAAGTATTCCAAAGGGGATCGGGAATCTGCTAAACCTAGAGTGCCTATTGCTGTCTAAGAACCGGCTTTCAGGTCACATCCCCCACACTATAGGAAACCTTCAGAAATTATATGAGATAAATATGGGTAGAAACTCTCTTTCTGGGAAAATTCCATCATCTTTTGGAAATTTAAGCGGATTAACTGAGTTATATTTACATGACAACACCCTTCATGGAAATGTCCCTTCAAGTTTAGCTGAGTGTCGCAATTTGATCATATTAGCTCTTCAGATTAATAACTTCAGTGGTAGTGTATCCGAAGTCATTCATACTTCCTCTTCATTTACTGCTTTAGATTTATCGCAAAATCAATTCACTGGTTCCCCTCCCAAACAAGTAGGACACTTAATAAATTTGTGGTACTTTGATATTTCTTACAACATGTTATTTGGTGAAATTCCGTCAAGTTTTGGGAGTTGTGTAAAGATAGAGTATGTAAGCATGAAGGGAAACCTCTTACAAGGGAATATTCCGCCCTCTTGGGGTTCACTGAAAGGAATTGAAGAATTATATCTCTCTCGCAACAATTTTTCTGGCACAATTCCAGAATTCTTGGAGCGTTTTCAGTTTTTGCAGTCACTAGATCTATCATATAACAAATTGGAGGGTGTGGTACCAACCGAAGGAGTTTTCAAGAATGCATCTGCCACAATAATAGTAGGAAATGCTAAACTTTGTGGAGGAATACCAGAGTTTCATTTGCCCAAATGCAAATTACAACATTCCCATGAGAGGCGATTGAGCCTAACCTTGAAGCTGGTTATCTCTCTCGTTTGTGGGCTTCTTGGACTCATTTTTGCACTATGTTTCCTGTACCTTTATTGCTCAAAGAGGGCAAGAAAAGAGCATGCTTCAAGTGATTCAGAAAAATTTCTCAAGGTGTCGTACCGAAGTCTTTTAAAAGCTACCAATGGATTCTCCTCCATCAACTTGATTGGTATGGGCAGTTTTGGGTCTGTTTATAAAGGAGTACTTGACCAAGGTGAAACGATGATTGCCGTCAAGGTACTCAATCTCGTTCATCGTGGGGCTTCCAAAAGTTTCGCTGCTGAGTGTGAGGCCTTGAAAAATATTAGACACCGTAATCTTTTAAAGGTACTCTCAGCATGTTCAGGTGTCGATTATAGTGGAAATGATTTCAAGGCCTTAGTTTATGAGTTCATGGCTAATGGGAGCTTAGAAGAATGGTTGCATCCAACTCAAAATATTGATGAGACGGATGAGAGGCCGAGAAGCTTAACGTTTTGTCAAAGGTTAAACATTGCTATTGACATTGCTATGGCATTGGATTATCTCCATCATCACTGCCAGACGCCAATAGTTCATTGCGACCTCAAACCCAGTAATGTGCTTCTCGATGAAAATATGACTGGACATGTAGGTGACTTTGGGTTGGTAAAATTCCTTCCCCAAATTTCTGAAATTGACTCCAGTCACCAATCAAGCTCCACCGGAGTAAAGGGAACAATTGGTTATACTCCTCCAGGTGAATGTGCTTTCTTTCATCGTGAATTTCTTTATTTTTTTTTTCTCAATATTTATTTTGATTGTCTCAAACATGACATAAGACCTTTTTGAGCACTTAAAAAATTAGAATTTTTTTTTTTTTTTCCAATTGTGCAAATGCAGAGTACGGTGTGGGACATGAAGTCTGGAGGCAAGGTGATGTGTACAGTTATGGTGTCCTCTTGTTGGAAATGTTTACTGGAAAAAGACCAACTGATAACATGTTTCAGGGAACGTCAAACCTTCATAACTTTGTCAAGGCAGCTGTGCCGAAAGTTGTACAGATTGTCGATCCTCTTCTTGTTCTAGAAAGCTTCGAAGGGGATATGAGCGCAAACAATCGCTTGGATCACAATAGACAAACCAATCGCAACAAAATTGAAGAAAGCTGCTTGGTTTCAATTTTAGAAATTGGTGTTGCTTGCTCTGCCCAGTTGCCTAGAGAACGGATGGATATTTCTGATGTTGTGGCCGAGCTGTGTCGTATAAGAAACAAATTATGAGTTAATAGAAGATGTCAATTGACCATGTAAGTACTGCTTCCTTGTATATCTAGTTAGATTTTACATTATTAGCTAGAATTCCAAGCTAATAGAATATGTTTTTGTTGTTGTTGTTCGCAGGCAAGCGCGTCACCCATTGATGGGTGATCTCTATGAAATCGTGTTCTATAGTAGTCCATATATGCACTTATGTTCTAATAATCTGTCATTTCTATTTCACTTAAAAATTTACCTACCACATTCGCTCTTTTTTTGTTCAAGAAACCTCAATAGTATGAGGGACATTTTGTCACATTAGAAAAAAAATAAAAAGGTTACGCCTGTTCCACCTTCATTATTTCAAAATTTGTACTTAAGCAACTCCTTTATCATGTATGATTTGAATAATTATGTGAGACAAAAGATCTCTTGCTACTTTCTGGTTGTGGGCGCATTGCACTTATCTTCTTACAAGACAAAGTCCTACACTTACATCCCAAGTTCATAGTTCATTTGCAGCTGCGGTGGTATGTGTGTATAGACCTGTAAACAGGTCGGGTTTATCGGGTTTGGGTTGGGTTCAATCCGACCCGTTAAGTTATCGGGTCACCCGAACCCAACCTGTTAAGATAACGGATCATCCAAACCCAACCCGTTAATCTAATAGGTCACTCGTTAACATTTTTTTTTTTTTTTTTTTTTTTTTTTTTTTTGCATTCCAATACACTTACACATATTAACTGTGGAAATTATGAACTTCACCTGGTTGAAAAGGATTCCCAAGAGAGCAAGATCAGCAGCCATATTTATATCAGCATCATCAAAAATCACAAGGGGTGATTTGCCTCCTCGTTCAAGTGAAACTTGTTTCAGATTGCTCTTTGCTGCAGCCTGCATTATTTCAAGAACATGCGTCAACATTACAAATCACAACATGGCGTTCAAGTATTGTCATTGAATTTCGTAACAAATTTTCAAATAAAGGATGCAAATTTGAACGAAAGAAAGAGAATTTACTTTGTCAATGTCCATATGATGGCTGATGGCAACACCAGCAGTCTTTCCAAATCCGGTTATGACATTGAACACTCTGTTAGGAACACCAACCTTCATAAGAATTTACAAGAGAGAGTCAACAATGGCAAGCCACATTGGCAATAAACACAAACAAACGCAGAGAATGACTGAGCTTACCAACTTAGCCAGATGCGCACAGTATAATGCAAATAGAGTTGTTTGCTCAGCAAGTTTGGTGGCCATGGTGCAATCAGCAGCTAGGCCTAAGAGTTTATTTTTTTGTTGTTAAGGTTTTACTGAAATTACTCAAACATTCTCAACTAACAGGTACTAACGGGTCTAGCGGGTTGACCCAAAGTGACCCGTTATTTAACGGGTTGTTACCAGGTTCACCCGTTAGTGACCGACCCGTTAAACATCCACCCAAATACTAATATTAACGAGTCAGGTCGGGTCGGGTTAACGGGTCGGGTCCAAAATGCCAAGTCTATATGTGTATACATTCCCATGCTGAGGTGATATGTATGGTCTAGTTCGGTTCGAGTCAGTTTTTCGATTTAAAATTCCAACCCTAGGTTGATTAAAACTCGACTATGATGGTTACAATAGTTAACTGAGGAATGAATGTCCTATTCATTTGAGGTATCAATTGGCAATTCATCACCAACTATCAATGGCCTATTCATCACCAATTAGTGGATGGACATAAATGTCTTGTAACACTCCCCCTTTTACGAATTTCTCAGTTGGGTAATCACAAGAACTCCATGCCAAAGCCTCATCTTTGTCTCTCTCAAAATATGTATGCTCTTTATAGGGACGAACTGGAAAACCTAAGTAGGGAGAAAAACTAATAGTCAGCATGAGAGAAACTTTCTACTCCTAGGGATTTCTCCCCCTAGAACAACAAACCCTTTAGGAGGACTTCCATGATTTCAGGCATGACATGTAAATTATGTTCACCAACACATTAAACATCGACACGATAGGGCTTACATGGCCATATGGCATGCACCATGTCTCACAAATTGTACACATAGCATCTGACTCATCAAAACTGGACGAGTCGTCAAGAGGACACATGTCAACATCTGGCAGAAAGGAATTTTTTATTTTAATTTAAACGATTGATTTATTTGATTTATATTTATTTAAATCAAATATTAATTTATGCAATCAAATCATGAATCAAGACACAAATCAAGTCTTGGTTATTTTGTCAATTAATCAAGGCCACGGTCAAGGCCAAATTTATCCTTAGGCAAGACTTTGAGAGTCTATAAATACAAGGCTCCAAGACAAAGGAAATGGCCCAAAAAATCATTCACACCCAAGACACTAAAAATCTAAAACTCTGAAGCTTTCAGGCATCCAAATTCTCAAACCCTTAGAAGAATTTGGATGTGTCAAGAAACACGTTATCCGGTGAATTCCCATGACACTGGGTAGTTGTATTAGATTGGAGTATTAGGCATGGTTGGAAACTTCTTCCAAGGAACTAATTCTACCATCTTTAGGTTCACTGGGAGGTGTTAAACAATTAAATCTTTTTCACAACTTATCAGGCGTGATTCCTGAGTTCTTGCAGCATTTTCAATCACTACAATATTTGAACCTATCTTATAACAATTCCGAGGGTGTGTACCAATTAATGGAGTCATCAAGAATGCCACTGCTACATCAGTTGAAGGAACTAGTGAACTTTGCGGGAGCATTCCTAATTTCATTTGCCAATATGCAAACTTCAACATTACAGCAAGGGAGGATTGAGCCTTGAAATGAAGTTGACAATCTCTCTGCTCTGGGGGATTCTTGGAATCACTTTTGCATTAGCTTTTTCGTACTTTCAATGCTTACAGAGGAGGGAAGAAAAGGAATGCACTTCAATTGATTCAGACAAATTTCTCAAGGTGTCTTACCAAAGTCTTCTAAAAAGCTATTGATGGCCTCTCCTCTACCAACTTGATTGGTGCTGGCGGTTTTGGTTCTGTGTACAAGGGGTACTTTAGAAAAGCGAAACAGAAATTGCCTTCAAGGTACTTAATCTTGATCCTCATGGAGCTTGCAGACGTTTCACTGCCGAGTGTGAGGCCTTGAAAAATATTAGACATCGCAATCTTGTGAAGGTACTCTCAGCATGTTCGGATTCCAATTATCTCAGTGATGATTTCGAAGCCTTAATTTATGAGTTCATGGCTAATGGGAGTTTGGAGAACTGGTTGCATCCAGCTGATGAAACAAATGAGAGATCACACATAAGTTTTTCTCGGAGGTTGAGCATTGCCATCGATGTCGCAATGGCCTTGGAGTATCTCCATAATCATTGTCCAACACACATAGTTCACTGTGACCTGAAACTGAGCAATGTTCTCTTCTCGACGATGATATGGTCAAACATGTAAGCGATTTTGGGTTGGTAAGATGCCTTCCGGAAACTTTTGGAAATCAATCGAGCTCTACTGGACTAAAAGGAACAATTGGTTACGCTCCAACAGGTGAATATACTTTTTCTTAAATATTTCTTCTCTATCAAGTTTCACACAAGCCATGTACGTTAATTGTTGGAAAATTGAATTAGCTAGGGTTTGTGATCAAATTATTTTTGGATCGTGCTTTGCAGAGTATGATATGGGACATGAAGTTTGGACACAAGGCGATGTGTGCAGCTACGACATTTCTCTTATGTGGAAATGTTTACAGCAAAACGACCAACGGATAACATGTTTCAAGGATCTTCGAACCTGCGTAACTTCAACAAGGCATCTGTGCGTGAACAAGTGGTAGAGATTGTCGATGTTCAAGAACATTATGTTACCGGTGATCAGATGAACGCTAGTCATCATCACTTTAACGAGGATATCACCACCACCGGCATCAAATTTGAAGAAATCATTGTTTCAATTTTGGAAATCGGTGTTGCTTGCTCGCCGATGACAAACTGTTCCCTTTGATCAATAAACACAGTATTACTCAAATCTTTGTAATACAGCTGGAACCGGAATCCTTTTCGCTTTCTACTGTCTAGCTAAATTACGTAAAAGCGATACATATCAAAACATGCATATCCAATTGTAAATGAAAATCAGGAGTTAAAACTCAAATAAGCGCAACTCAATCATCCCTTCTTTTCTTTTTGGGGAATACCAAGCAACGACCTTCCCTGATCGTAAAAGTCTCAAGGAGTAGCTCAAGCTGTATATGAAATCCTCAATATGTGGGCCATGTTTCCCGGGCAGATGGTCGAGCGCAACTCTGGAATCCGCTCTAAAGACGATCGGCCCATACACCTACAAAGGAAAGGTATAGTATCAACAACAATTGGTTTTTCATCCCAGTAACCAAAAAATTTACCCGTCACGCATGTTAGTAGCCATATAAAGGAGCTCGGCTTTCATCCTCACATTCTAAAGTTTTACGTTGATCTAATAGTCAGACATTATAGCGCCTGAGCAGTATAACGACTCTACAGATGCATCAGCAGAAAAATGAATAGATTTGATACTCAAAATCAGACAGGGAAGACACGCTTCCGCAAGCACCAATTAGCAAAAACTATAGCATGCAGGTTTTGTAACACATTGTGCATAACGGCATTTAAAAAATCTCTTACTACAACTAAAGGTTCGAAACACTTAAAAAGTTAAGGTATGAATAGAAATACCTGCTGCTGAAAGATTAGATTGATCCTAGGGGAGGACATCGGATCTTTTGCACTATTAGTGTTGGCCGAGGAACTCTTCAAACCATTAATAACCCTTTTAGCCAAAGCTGAAGCTGAACAAATATCCAGGCGAGCATCTATCCTGGTCAGATCACCAAAGAGCTCTCTAAATTTCCCGTGCTGGTAACTATAGCAGAGAGATCCAAAAAAATCAGCACTGAATGGACTTCTCTTCTTATTGCTCCTAGAATTGTCCTCGTCTCCCCTCATATCAACTGCCACTGGGTTGTACCCATCCTGAAACCAGGCTGTGCAGCTTCCACCTAAAATATAATGCCACCATTGGCCAGAAGAAACAAGTGAGAAATTGCACAATTTCATTTTCCAAACAAAAGGGAACTACATCACTAACACTAATTAGGTTGACTACCCATTAATTTTGACTATTATAGAATTTCGTATCTAGTCTTCTCTGGTGCAAACATTAGGAAATGGTAAAAGTAAAAACCTTGAGAGACTGCATACTGTCAGCAACGGATCTGGACTCAAACACAAAATAAAAATATTGAATTGTTCTATTTGAATTTTTGTCTCTAGAATTATCTTTTATTACTATTATTTATAATGTTTCTTTTACTTAAGTCATACCTACAACCACAGAACAGATGAAAGGAGGTGACATACTCTTTACGTGCACTGGCCTTAATATAATAATGTACAAAACTACACATACACAACACAAATGAAACTAAGAGCCAACAAAACATGTATAAATGTATAAAAACAGGCAAATGTATAAGCTAAAATTATAAGATATTGCACCTGAGGGACTATGAAATTTCTGGGAAAAAAAAAATGTAATGAGATAATACAAGTTATCACAGATAATATGAGTAACTTGTAAAATTACCAAAAATTCCAGATACTGCAGCATGAGGTTCTTTAAGACGCACATCATAAGATGGCCGCCAAAACCAACCCTTTTCTTTTTGTATCATGATGTCTTTTTGTGTCTCCTTTTGCCTCCAAAGATCTTGGCTTTTTTCATAAGAAAAGGCAGCCTTTGCACACACTCCAGGCATTAGAGAAGTAGGTGCCTCACCATCTATGGAATTAACTGCTTGGGGATGACCACTATTTTTATGTACACCAACGCGGTACCGCAATCCAGATTCAGAAATGAGTGATGACATGTCTAAGGAAATTGACTCAGGCACATCCCAGTAATTTCCTTTATGGTCAACGAATAGTTCAGGCCATGCAGCCTCAAGTGTAATATCATGGTAAGGAAGCTGCAAACATCTTATAGGTTGAGAAAACTTCCTAGTACATGGTTCATAATTTAAACAGGAAGACAAATGAAAAAAATAAAGGTACAGACATGAACATTTTCACTAAAACAGCTTATGCAGTGTAGCATCTATGTTCGGGGCAGTGCATATGTGCAATGTTATCAAGTCATGTAACCTATAAGTAACCTATAAATAAAGTGGTAAACAGAAGAAACTTGTAAATTAAGATGTTTGAAGAATGTTGATATATATAAGCTAAACCTATATTCGAGGTATGTTCAGGAAAAAACTGAAAAAATTGTGGCTTCATTTTGTCTCTAAGATTGGATTGAAATTGACAATCCACTATATTCAAGGTATATTGACGAAAGAACTGAAAAATCATTTGCCTCTATCTTTAATATACATGCACATAGTAGTTTATCGATTCCATTCCAATCCTAGAGACCAAACGAGGCCTTACTTTTCAACAATTAAAAATTAGGAAATAATACTTTAAGATTATACATGCTAACAGAATCTGGTATGTCTATTTACCTAGTAATGAGACCCACCACATGGTTGTTTAAGGCCATTTCATGTTCAAGTGATTAATAGCTCATATAGATACATCCCTAGAATTACTTATGTTTAACTTTAATTCCTATAAGAGAAACTTTTCATATGAAAGAAAACAAATCGCAGTTGGAAGGTATTACAACCTAGCATGAACAAAGCCCAAGAAGAACTTTAAACCTACCAACTCCAATCTGTAAACAAATCATCCACCTACCAATAGTAATTGTAAAAAAATGAAAAGATTGACACTCATAAATCCCTCAAACTCGCTTCACGAACCCGGCAAACAAAAGATAAAAGGAATTCTGACTGTTTAAACAATTGGATTAAAAGTCAAAACTAGGAAAGCAAATGTGTACCTTGTGAAAGAGCATCAATTTGTTGCGGCGTCCTTTTTTCTCACCATGCCCTTCTGTGCTCAACTTTATGGATGATGACGGAGACAAAAGAAGCTGTGTGCATAGTCCAAACGAATAAAGTGACTTGTCGAAGACATGCTTCGCCACATCTTTGAATGCAGGGACCTCCATCTCATCATTAGTAAATTCAGCCTTAATAGAAGAAAAAAGTTTCTTCGGGCGGAACTGCCCAATTAATCCAAGCCACCTATTCTCATGAAGATCATTTAACAAGGGAATTAGTATGTCGGACAACAAAAAATGCTAGCCAGAGTTGATAAATGTGAGAGATGACTTTGGTGTAAGCATGGTAACTCATAATTCACTCCTTCACAGGAAACATGCTCAGGGAATTAGGACATTAAACTCAATGCATTTGGATCAGTAATTTCACAAATTCAATACATATACACAGTCCATTCATTAGCTAGGACATTGTTCGAATTTCAAAACATCAAGACATAATATTTTCACCCAAGAAGCCCCATAAAAAGGATGTATAATCCCAACCAGAGCTCCGATAACCCGGATAGGTAAGGAAACCTTGACGCTCTGGAAAAACATGAAACCCCCCTCACGAATCAGTACAATAACAAGGCACCAAAAACTTCATGCTTCATGTGATATACCACTAGAACTAGGCTAAAAATTTGTTTGGTTTTCAAGCTTTCCACTCAAACTCTCCTTCTCACATCATTGTCACGTAATAATTTATAATCCAATGTATATCCAATCTACCAATATCTTCCTAAATATCAAATATAGCACAAACCAAGCCTATAAACAGGGAGATAGAGGGTCTTTATCAGTTGTTAAAATAAAAATTGTTGAATAAAACACGAAATTCGAAAACAAAAGCTGCATATTCATTTCTCAGCAAATAGGAGATAAATTCTCTTTCGCTTTTTTTTTTTTTTTTTTTTTTTTTGCTTCACCCAATTCAACCCTATAACAACAATTTCGATTGCTCCTCTCCAAAGTTTCCCAGCAACGAAACAAACAACAAACGAATCACACCCATTTCCCAACATTTTCCCAGTAACCAAACAAACCACAAACCAATCCACGGGAACACACGACGCAAAACGGAATATAATATAAAACAAATTTGAAAAAAAAAAAAAAACCCAATAGGCAATAGCTAAGCAAAGCCGTTGTAGCAGTGTACCAGTTAGAGGTAGCTGGTCTGAGCAAGAGGGACTGGAGAGAGAAAGAACCCAATTCCTTGTGAGAAGTGGGGGAGTAGGAAGGTATAATACCCAAAGGGAACCCATTTCCCAGAAGAGAGAGTTGCTGAATCCTGAGGGCTCGGCTGGCTCGAGCGCCGTCGAGAGGAAATGGGTCGCCGGGAACGGCCTTGGCGGAGCCCTCAAGGGTCTGAGGCGACGAAACGTTCAAGTCCCAGAAGGCTGAGTCCATTGCCGTCCTCAGGTTCGCCATTGTTGGCTGTCGAAAGAGTGTGGGAGTGCGAATTCTTTTAGGTTCTGGTTTTGGTTTTGGGGTTTAAGCGGTGGGTTTGTGATTTTTATTTGTCGCTTTCTTTTACTCCTTATCTGTCTTCAAATGAGTTTGAATATGAGAAACAAACTATAAAAAAAGAAAAAAAAAAAAAAACTTCAAAACTTTGTATTTAATAAAAAATTATCAAATAACTTTATTTAATGATAAAAACAAAAATATAAATATAAACATACACGCCTAGTGCATCCCCCAACCCCCTCCCCTTCCAAATATAACTAAATAGGAAAAAGTATATGAAAATACACATACATATTATATCATGTATGAATTAGCTAACCACAACAACGATGACACCTACTTTTAGGCCTTTGACAAAGCAAGATAACACAAACACACGTCTGGTAATATAATCTCGTAAGGTGTATGTTCATGTATCTAATAAATAATATATATATAAGTGATATATGTAGTGAATTTCATAAACAGAGTAGTACCGTTAAGTTTCATAAACGGTGTAGTAACTTTCATAAACAATGTACTACCGTTTAGTTTTATAAACAATGGAGTAAGTTTTATAAACAATGTAGTACCATTAAATTTCATAAACAATGTAGTAAGTTTCAAAATAGTACGTGTGAGGATGCGCGAGTCCTAAGCGTTAGTTTTATTTTTTTTTTTTAATTTTTTTTATATTAAAATTATGTCTTTTTCATTAAAATTTAAGTTCTTTTGTCTTTTTTATTAAAGTGTAAGGGTTTTTAATTAAAATTTAAATCTTTTTCATTAAATAAAATTATAGCATGGTTTTTGGTTAAAATAAACTTAGTCCAAGCTTTTTTTATGAAAGTTATCTTATTTTAAACATGCCCACATTGGCTATGAAATACCTAGGCTTAGAGCACTTCCATCCCTAAAAAGCCCTTTGGGCAATAAACAATTCAATCCCCTAAGTGAATAGTAATTGCCTATAATGAACTGTAACTGCCTAAATATATATTCACTCCTAAACTAAATAGCTCATGTAATTCGTATTAAAATATTTTTTATTATTTTATAAATAATATTTTAATACGAATTACCTGATAAAAATAAAAGATTCGTCGAAAGTATTTGAAACTATTGAAATATGGTGTAAGGTTGAAGAACATGGTTAGATATTTATAGAAAAGAATTATAATTTTTTATATTTTTAATTAATTTTTATGATTTTTTTTATAATTTTTTGTATTTGTTTAATCTTTTATAATGTTTTGTAATTTTTTAATAGTGGCTAACATCACCATGACGTCAGCCTTGCATCACTGCCCCTGGGGGCTAGGCTAGTCAATTATCCATTGGGCAAGCAACTGGGCTCCCCCAGAGCCTGTTAAATCAACTATCCCCTAGGGATATTTGTTAAGTTGGAAGTGCTCTTAGGTGGGTTACGAGGCAACTTACAAGGTCAAGGTGTATTGTAACTATCAGGCTCTCTATCCCAAGGGATCCTCATTTTTGCGTAAAAATGAGGACTAGTTGTAAAGCCGAATCTACGTTGAACTTCAACAATTTGAATAGTTTATTTTGTAAAAATGCAGTACAATTGTTCTGTTGGCTTGAGACTCCCACTACAGTGGTGTGTCACTGTCATAGAAGCCCTTCTCTACTAGAAAAGGATTGGTGGTTGAGAAATTGGCAAAATCCACGCCGACGATGTGAAGGTGTTTGGACCTAAACTATTGGGCATGGGCCGGATATGAGCTCAATGTACTTGACCCAATTCTTAATCTCCTAAATTAGATTAAGGCCCGCTCAGCCTGTGGTGGCCAAGTCCTAAGAGGTGAAGGACTCTTAGGGCATGTTTGTTTGGCCTCACTAGGTTTCACTAGACTGGCTAGGATTATTAGTTAGTGAAATCATGTGTTTGTTGACAGCGGGGACTAGGGTTAATGAGATTTAAGGGGGACTTGCCTAGACTAAAGGCCTCACTAGGAGGTCTTAGTGAGACCCCCCGATTTTGGGCAGATTGCTAAGACCAGCTCCACTTTGAACCTCCCCACTTCACCCCTTCACCCATCCCGACTCCTATTTTTTCTTCCTAGAAAAACTCTTCCACCCACTGCCTAAATCTCAAATCCAACCCCCAAAATTCCAAACAAAAAAAATAATGATAACAACAATAATTCCATAGAAAAATTCTCCCTTTTTTTGCTAAGAAAATTAGAGAAGGCGCAAGAAACAGAGAATGGTGGCGTAGTTAAGGGCAAGGTCTAAAATATTGGTAGTCCAAAAACACGGAAATTTCGATGGAAATATCAGGATATTATCGATATCGATAAAAATTGAAAAAAAAAACCACGAAAATTGTAAGAAAAACTTGGAATTTTTATTGAAACTTTGCAGGATGTTTATTTAGTCAATTATCTATTAGTTTATCACAAAAAATTGGAAGGAAATGCATTGCATGATGGATTAAACTGATTTAAGTTGATTATATAGCGAGCTGGCAAACATTGTGAGTGTAGAAAATATGTAGTAATTAATGAAAGAAGTTTAAACACACCATAATCATTTATATATAATGAATTAGTACAATATTTTACACTTTATACATTGCATGGTAAGATACATGAGTGACTTAGTACCATAATAGAGTTCCTATGAGGTTCAAAATTTTGACTATCTTCATCATCTATATGCGTAGAGTAAGAGTATTGTGAAGAGTAGTCATCAAATGATAAATCCCCAAAATAGTTTTGCATGTCATTATTAACATGCCACCCATATGGATCCGAGATTGGTTGACGTTGTCCATAAACAAAATCATTTGAAGATTGAGTCTCAGATTTTTTCCATGAGTCGCTTGATTAAGAATGGGATATGAAGGGTAGGGAAATGGTTGGTTATGAGTATAATCAGAGTTACTATTTCCTACTCCAACAGAGTCCGAAGTTATAGATAACAAGTCATCTTCTTGACTTAACAAAGTCTCATTGCCTCTTTCTCTACGAGTATAGTCATTCCCTATGGCACCAATTCCTGGTCCTGCCCACCTACTGCCATGGTCCTCATCCTGTGTTGCATGCGTGAAGTTTGCCTCACCAGTGAAAGGGCTCATAAATCCGGGAGGTGATCCAACATAGTTTCCATATCCACCATTGCCTCCAGCTCCACTATATCCTTCATCATTCCCACCTCCGGTGGTAGGTGAGTCTCCTGTTCTTGTACAAGAGTTATCATTAGTATCAGCAGGATCTTGTGGTTTTGTAGGATTGGAAGAAGGTGGAATTCCAGTGTTTCTTGGTCTTAGGCGCAAAACTTCTTCCAAAGAGTCAATGCTGCTAGATCCCACCTCCTCCTCTAATACTCTTTCTACATTTATCCCTTCATTATGTGCTTCTTCAGCAACTCTTAGAGCTGGGTTGCCTTTATCATCATCTAAATAAAGAGGTCTAATCCATTGATAAAGTTGGTTACCCTCTGTATCATCATCTTTTGCAACAATATCAAACACATGTAGTGGGTCACCACAGTCAACATGATCTATTTCTACTTCCTTATCTCGAATTTGAAGCTTCATGTTGTAGTAGCAATAAACTAATTTTTCCAACCTACTATGAGCCAACCTATTTCTTTGCTTTGTGTGTATGAGTGCAAATGTACTCCAATTTCTTTCACAAGCAGATGAGGAAGCTGTTTGTGATAATACTTTGATTGCTAACTTTCTCACAATTGGTGCATCAATCTCATACATGATCCACCATTCAGCTATAATGAAAAACAATGTTGATAAGCCTAATAACTCCAACAAATTCTATTATAAACTGATAGTGAAATATGTTTACACTTATTAGGAGACATTTTTGTTCGAGCAGTAACTGATGTTTGTTCTCCAAAAGTTCTTCTTACATCTTGAAACCATGTTAGCTGAATTCAATAAATCGTGTTAGTTTAATCCAACAATGTAATTATTATAATTTAAGTAATTGTGTACCTCATTTCCAAATTGGCCAACTACTGGTGATGCAGGGTTTAATTTAGAGTATACATTATGTACAACATGTATAAGGGTACTATCATCTCCAACACCAGGTCTGTATTAGTATCGAGGATTCAAATAATATACTCTTCAAAGAAACACATACTCTAATAAGAGAAATAATACTTATGCAACTAAAGAAATGAATTGCAAATTATGACATAATTTATACATGCTGCATGCAAATCGTGGTATAATGTTTGATACCATCAGTCATCAATTATCTTTATGACACCTTGCACCATGTTTTCTTTCCAAGTCCTCCTTCACTACACGCATCAACTCATATATTGCCCCCATAGTAAGACACACTTCTGTGTCAACGAACCGTAAAACTTTGTAAAGAGGTTCAAACACTTGGCACACATGTTCTGATTGAGTCCAAAAAGCATGATCAAGCACTATACTTTCCACCATACGACCTGCATTTGAGCGGTTGAAATTATGGTTGGCCCAATCATCACTAGTGAATAGTTGTTTCAACCCTGCTTTCTTCTTAAGTAGGATGTCTAATGCAATATAGTTGGTGGCGAATCGAGTGGTAGCTGGACGAATAATTTCTCCTTTGCAAAATTCATGCATCTTTGCCAACAACTAACCGTGATTGTAAATATAATTTGTGATCATTCTAACTCTTTTTACGACATTAGCAATATTCTCTCTCTTCCCCATTGCCTCAAACATGAGATCAATACAATGTGCTGCACATGATGTCCATAACACATTATGATGCTTCATTAACTTTTTCCAGCTTTGACAAATGCAGAACCGTTGTTGGTCACAACTTGGACAACATTATGCTCTCCCACCTCCATGATTACATCCCTCAATAATTTGTAAATATACTTGTAGCTCTTTATATGGTCTGAAGCATCAACGGACTTTAAAAACATTGTCTTTCCCTTGGAGTATACCATAAAGTTTATGATAGACAATCTGGTCGGGCCAGTCATTCTGTCACACA